GGTGTCTCTGTGTTGCCCTGGAACTTGCTCTGCTGTAGATCAGGCTGGCCTTGAACTCACAGAGATCCACCTGCCTCTGCCTCCCAAGTGCTGGGATTAAAGGCATGCACCACCACTGTCTGTCTGGGCCCTTTATTCCTGCATTGAATTGTCTGTGAGCACCTGGGGCTGGGAGGCAGCGTGTGGAGGGGTCAACGAAGCCAGTGTCCACTGGGGACTTGATGGTGCTGGCCAGCTGGGGGGCCAGGAATGGAAGCACCTAACCAGGCTGCACACGGCTGTCCCTGGGCTTCGGGAGAGCCTTATTGGGTGCAGGTGGACTGTTCATAGCGGGCTCCTGATCAGTGTTAGAGACCACCCTGCGACCCTCTGCATTCAGGTGGCTTGATCGATTTGTTCAGTTGGCTACAATTCCGAATCAATGAAGCGGAACTCTAAGCATGTAACCAATAAAAACCACACAAAATTCAAATTGCTTCATCTTTTATCTTAGTGACTGAAATCATGATTTTGGGGGCTCGTGAGATGGCTGCCAGGCTTGCTGACCTGAGTTTGATGCCCAGAACTCCCGTGGTGGAAGGAGGGAACTGACCCCATCTTGTCCTCTGACCTCCACACACTGCGGCACTTACGCATGGTTGCATGTTGCACATGCTCCAAATGAACACATGAAGGTGATTAATTTTTTTAATTCATAACTTTTTTTTACTTTTTGAGAGAGAGGGTCTCACTATGTCATTCTAGTTGGCCTGAAACTCAGTATGTAGACCAGGCTAGCCTGCCTGTGTGTCCCAAGTGCTAGGATTAAAGACGTGGGCCGCCATGGTGGGTTCCAGTGCTTGGATTTAGGTTATCCATGTCTACACTGCACAAGTTCATTTTCTATACCAAGTATATTCCATTCCACGAGCATGCCTTGGAGTGTTTGCTCAGGTTGTATCTGTTCTGCGGGCTCGCTGGATGCATTGCTGCTGTGGCCATTGTAACCCTGCATGGGTGAACAGTGGGGCATTCCTGCACGGTGCACATTCAGAAGCTGCAGGTGGGAACAGATACCTTCTTCCGTGTCTCCCCAAAGGGTGTACTCACCAGCACCCCTGAAGGCAGCGAGAACCAGTCACCCGCTCATTGCCGTTTGGTGTTGTCTTTCCCATTTGGTAGATGGACACAGACGGGTGACGAAGTCCTGATTTACATTTCCAGGTGACTAATGGGTGTGAGCACCCCATCCTCAGGGCCATGTCAGTACTCCTTTGTAGGATGCCTGGCCAAGCTTCTGTCCATCTTCCTTCTGGGCGTCTGTTTGCCTTGGTGATTTACAAGTGTCCGAGTGTCCTGTGCAAGGTCGTAATTGCCATGAAGTACAATCAGTGGATGCTGCTTATGGCACTGTCCTGAGGTCCTGGTTAAGAAATCGTCCCTCTCCTCCAGGTTGTGAATGTCTCCTGTGTAATCTTCTAGCGACGCTGGTGTCCCTTTGATGTGCTCTTTACCAGGACTGGCTTTTGTTCCTGGTGTGAGGTCAATGTCCCTCTCCCACATCCACTTGGCTGAGCGTCACTTGTGGAGAGAATCTTTCCTCCTCACGGTACTGAGGGGTCATTTCTGTCATAGGTGAAGTTCCTAAGTGTTTGGGGTCCATGTCACCGTCCATTCCCCTGTGCATGGCTCTGGAGAGGTCTTCATGTCTAGTGGAGTAAGGCCTTCCACCTCATTTGCGTGTCTCTGACTGTTCTTGGTCCTCCACTGTTCAGGTCTGAGAATGAGTCATCCTATATTTATAATACATACATAAAATAGGGGGGGGGTTGGGGGCTGGAGAGATGGCTCAGAGGTTAAGAGCACTGGCTGTTCTTCCAGAGGTCCTGAGTT